ATATTTATTTAATACATATTAAATAACCAATTGCCATAATATTATTTTGTGTAGAATAATATGAAAGTACCATTTTATCCCTTCTAAATTAGTCAAAATAGTTTAAATTTTTATGAATGGTCAACTAACGGTCAAATGGATAGATTCCATCCATCTGGACTCCAGCTACAACATTATTTAAATATTTGGTACCGTGGGTTGTACAAATGAAAGATTTGGGCAAAGGTTACATAAAAGTGAAAGGTTTGTTACCATCACTGCAATTTTCCCTAAAATTAATAATCCTCAAATTCGTACAAAGTGTTCTCATCGGTGTTCCACACATATTAAATTTCTATTAAATTTTTGTCTAGAGAAAACTTGGACTAATGAATAATTTTATAATTAAAATAATTAGTTGAGTAAATCAATAATTGGGAAGGGACGGTGTCTCTATAATATTTTTATATCTAAAAAGTTAATAATAAACCAATAGCTATATGATTTCCTCATATTATAAAAATCAATGGCTGCACTGTGGTCTGGCCCCAAAGTCGACGCATTTGTTGTCCTGTTTGAGCTGCTGGCTAGGTAGCGAGAAATGACACCCAATCTAGTTTGTTACTTGTATGACCATGTCGGACAGGACAACTCGAGCATCATCCAAATTGTATTCATTGCATCGAATCAACATAACAAAAAATTTAAGGAAAAATTATACTGGTTAACCAATTTGTATGTTTTTTTTTTTTTTTTGGCAATAGTCAACATACAACATGAATTGGCTATTAACACTTTAACAGGGTAATTGGGGATTACAGTAGGTTATGAACAGTGAATTTGGGAACCTATTGCCTATTGTAATTTGATTAATTCCAAGACCTTATTTGCTTATTTTTAATTGCTAATCTTAGTAGATAATTGGATATAGTTAAAGATTAAATTTAAACAATTAATTGTATATTCCATAATTAGTGCTAGATCGGAACGTTTTCACAAATTATTCATTGTTCATTGAGAAAATTGCAACAACGGTCCCTAAACTTTCAAAAATATGCAGTCTAGATCTAAATGGATGGAAATCATCCATTTAACCGTTAGTTGACTAAAAAGTTGATTTTAACCAAATTTTAAAATGGGTAAAATGATAACTTTATTATTTTCCATATTAAATAAACAAATCAAAAAAATCTTAAAAAAAAAAAAAACCCAAAAAAAAAAAAAAAGGTTATCATCTTCCCCACCCCACATCCCCTCACAAACCTCAACCCCCCACCCCGTCCCTAAAAATCAGTTGCCACCACCATCGGGCAACTTCCACACCACAACCAGCAATAAAAAATCTGGCAAAATGATTAACCCTGCAAAAAATGATTAGCAAAATCCCCTACGCCGACTCATCTGCAGACTACTGTAACTCAAAAAATTTGATCACAATAAAATATGATCAATATAAAACCAAATGCTGCAACCCGATATCCCTTCAATTTTGATAACCCAACAGCCTTTGGTCCCAAATTTTGATAACCTACCAATTGAAATGTCAAGAGAAAAAAAAAAAAATTCTCATTCCATATTTTGCTTGGCAGATAACATCCATTCACAAAATAGCTTGAGGTATGCACTTATGTTGAACTAATGAAGAACTAATGAGATTTGATACAAAGAAACTTCAGTTTTAATTAAAAAAAGAAAACATTCAAGGCTCAGTTCATGGGTTCAAGTAGGGGTAAATGGGTTGGGTTTATTTTGTTTTGGGACGAAGGTGTGGATATGATTGGGAAAGAAGATTAAATGGGTATGGAAGCCTGTTGGAAGCGACGACAGTGGCGGCGACGGTGGCAAGTCGTTGTGGCCAAAAGGTTTATTTGGTTTGGTTTAGGGTGGGAAGGGAAATAATAAACGGTTTTTTCTTTTATTTTTGTTTGAATTATTTTAAGGGATAAATAATAAAGTTACAATTTTACTCATTTTAAATTTGGTCAAAACCAACTTCTTTGGTCAATTAACACTTAAATGGATGGTTTCCATCTATTTGGACCTCTGTTGAATATTTTCAAAAGGTTAGGAACCTTCTTTGACACACTTCGGATAAAGTTTGTAAAATTTGAAAATGTTAGGGACCGCTGCTGCAAATTTTCCTCATTCATTCCTATCAAAATCTTTACTTTTAAAATTCTTCTACTATCATGTTGCGCACTTATAAAATATTAAGCCCTTGTTTAATTCTCATTATTTTGAAAATATATTTTTCTCTTTTTTTTTTTCAACTACACATTTTTCAATAAAATAATAGTACACGTAAACTCAAAATTTTTCCTTATTTTTTAATCACACATTTTTCATCAATTTAATATTTCAAAATGCATTCTTAACAAATAATGTGGCTCAAACATTTATATTTGGACTTTCCAAATCACAAAAGAAAAGTCTAATTGGAATGCATTAGTATTAGTCCCAACTGACCACTACTTTGTCTTCATTTTTTTTGTAGGATTGGAAAACTTTTTAAGAACTTTCATTTTGTTTTCCATTCTTTGACCAAAACTCACCGCAAACCATACTTCTAATAGTCACATCTGTTGTCTCTTCTTTTCTCCATTCAAACTCTCGATGCAGGCAAGTAAACGCACATACTTGAGTATTTTTTGTGAACAGAAGTGTCTCTTGCATAAAATTAATAATCGTCATATTCATACCAAGTGTTCTCATCAGTATTCCACACGTATTAAATTTATATTTAATTTTTTTCTAGAGAAAACTTGGAATAATGAATAATTTTGTAAATAAAATAATTAGTTAAGTAATTCAATTATTGGGAAGTGACGGTGTCTCTATAATATTTTTATATCTAAAAAGTTAATAATAAACCAATAGCTATATGATTTCCTTATATTATGAAAATGAGTGGCCATATTGGATAGGCTGCACTGTGGTCTGGCCCCAAAGTCGACTCATGTGTTGTCTTGTCTGAGCTGCCGGCTAGATAGCGAGAAATGAAACTCAATCTAGTTTGTTACAAGTATGACCATGTCGGACAAGACAATTCGAGCATCATCCAAATTGTATCCATTGTATCAAATCAATATAATAAAAAGTTGGCTGATGCTACAAGTACATGAATTTAAAATTCTTGTACTAACATACCACACACAGGCAGGAGTTTTGCCAATTTTTTATTCACGTGGGGATGGAGCATCATCCAAATTGTATCCGTTGTATCGAATCAACATAATAAAAAATTGGGTGATGCTACAAGTACAGGAATTTAAAATTCTTGTACTTACATACCACACACAGGCAAGAGTTTTGCCGATTTTTTATTCACATGGGGCCCATCCCCATGTGAGACAAATTCAAAACCCCGTGAAAATTCTTCTGTACTCAAAAGGTTTATCCTAAAAAATTTAAGGAAAAATTATACTAGTTAACCAATTTGTATGTTTTTTTTTTTTGCAATGGTCTCATTATCAAACGAAAAGACAATATTTTAAATCATTTTTATATGAAGTGACATGATTGTAACGAAGTTGAATTTAATAACTCAATTATAACAAATGAAGCTTAACGACACGATTAGTATTTGGATAAAAGTTCAGCGAGAACATATTTCAATGGTCCAAATTATCTTTAAATCATTTTAGACCACTCCACTAATTGCAATATTTTATATTATTTTACTATTAGCAAAAAAAAAATATTTTATTTTATTGTTTTAGTGAAGGCTATGAGCAGTTATTCTCTTCTTAGCAGAATATCAGAAAAGCCGGCTTCAAATTTGACCATATTTAATTTAAAGGAAATAAACTCTTTGGGGTTAATTTTACCAATCAATCAACTTCAGGCTAATCACCTTGATAAACTTTTAATTTGTTACATTTACATTATTGAACTTTAAATTACTTTAATTATGCCCCTAGATTAAGTCTGGCATTTGTTTTAAAGTTCTATGATGTTATTGAAACATTTTTAAACATAAAAAAAAAAGGTGAAATAATATGATTAAACATATAAAAAAAAAGATTATAAAAGGAAACACAATAAAATTACAGAATAATTGTCAAAGGTGATAGCTAAAATGTGTTCTGATACGACTTTTCTTTCATGATTTCAAATATATTTCCTTGAACTCATGCAAGGAAAATACATGTTGGTTCTCTCGTTTTTATTTTTCAATTAAATTCCTAGAAGTTAATTTAGTCTAATGCGGTAGTCAGTCAACCATTACATTCATCATGTTAGTATACACTCTTATTGGACTTCTCTCTTTCTATTTTCCCAGTATGACGAACCATTACAAGGAAGGTTCTAAGTGACGGAAGACATAGGATGGCCAACCGAGACCCCCAAGGACTTCCTGCAGCCGCCCAATGCATTTGGACGAGCAGGCCACGGCATGCATGCAATTCTGCATGTCTTGGGTGGCTGCCCTATGTGCAGATCAGGACATGCATGCTTATACCCATTTTAATGATGACTTTTCATCCAAATTTAATTACGACATTAAAAATTTGAATAGTTGTGATTCAAATAAAAGATTGTAATTCTGCAGAATGTTTGTTCACAGTCTATAAATAAGATTGTTGATTTCTAGTTCGAATCAAGGGCTAATATGTAATTCACAGTATAATTTTTAAGAATAAAATGCATGACTTTATTCACTGGTAATTATTTATTATTTATCAGGTGACCGATTGTACGAGCTTTCCTTGACTCATGATAGATATTTTAAGTTGTATACTTTCCTATGAAACCAGTAAAACAGAAAAATATATATATAATATCCAGGCGACATAATAGTCAAAAATGACCGCCTGCCGAAAAGAACAATTGCCCCGCACGCAGGGTCTGGTGGGCGGGCCATCTCTGCTATAAATACAGGTATTTCTTCTGTATCTTATCAGCAGCATCAACTGGAGCTATATTCATCTATACTTCCAACAAAAATTGTTCTTGTGCTGATACCAAAATATTTTCTTTTTTCGACTTCTTCTTGTTCTATTGTCCAGAAGAGAATCAGAATGGCCACAGCTCTTGTTGAAAATGCTACCAACATTGTAAAGGAGATTGTTCGCCCGGTCGCAAACTTCTCTCCTAGCTTATGGGGCGAAAAGTTTATCAATTTTTCTTTTGATACTGAGGTATCGATCCCCTTATTTCTAGTTTTTTGACCCAGCAATATTAAGTTTATGTATGCAATCTCTTAAAACTTTTCTTGTTTTTCTAACTCTGCTCCATAATTAATAATGAAAAGTCTACATTAATTTTGGAAAACAAATTTTAGAAAAAATTGACAAAGTTTTTGGTTCAGAAAGAATTTGTCCCATTTTTAAATATTTATGTTCTGAGATGTAATATAGGAATACCATTTCTTAGTAAATTTACTTTTGAAAGTACTGCCTGGCAATATTCCCTTTCTTCCAGTGATATAGTACCATTAATACACTATTAATACGTAAATTAAGAAGTGAAAACTAGCTTGGCTTACAATATGTTGCTCTTGTGGAATCATACAGCTTGCAGAAAAATATGCCACGGAGATTGAAAGGTTTAAGAATGAAGTGAGAAGCTTGCTGATAGCTCCCGGAAAAGACATGGCGGAGACTATGAGTATGATCGACACACTTGAGCGCTTGGGTGTTTCATATCATTTTGAAAACGAGATTGAAGAACTGTTAGAATGCTTCTTTAATCTCAACTCAAATTATGCAAATGAAACCTACGACTTGTACACTGTTGCACTTCATTTTCGTTTATTCAGACAACATGGATACCGTATATCTTGTGATATTTTTAAGAAATTCATGGATGAGACTGGAAAATTCAAAGAGACGATTAAGAGTGATGCGAAAGGGTTGCTAAGCTTGTATGAAGCTGCATATTTAAGGGTGCATGGAGAAGACATACTAGAAGAAGCCCTTGCTTTTACAACAGATAACCTGAACACCATGGCACCAAATCTAAACTCTACCCTCGGGAAACAGGTAGCTCATGCCCTTGTGCAATGCATCCATTTTGGGAACCCAAGAATTGAGGCACGTAACTTTATCTCCATCTACCAAGAAGATGAGTCCAAGAATGATATGCTGCTGACGTTTGCCAAATTAGACTATAATTCATTGCAAATGTTGCATAAAAAGGAACTCCAAGAAGTTTCAAGGTAATATTTTTGGCAAGTGCATAAAACAGCTGAAAGCATGTGTGTGCGCGCGCGCATTAGTTAATAACATTCATACCTATAATTGCAGGTGGTGGAAGGATTTGGACCTTGTTTCTAAGCTTCCTTATGCTAGAGACAGAGTGGTAGAATGTTTTTTTTGGGCCATGGGAGTTTATCATGAACCTCAATATTCAATTGCTCGAATCATGCTCACCAAAACCATTGCAATGACGTCAATAATAGATGATACATATGATGCCTACGGTACAGTCGAGGAACTTGAAATTTTTACTGAAGCCATTATGAGGTGCATATTTCTTTCTTTTAAATGTATCCACAATATTAAAACAAGTTTTCAAAATTAATCATGTGTTTACTCGTGATCGTAATCATGATATTGTCTTCTTTTTTATCAGATNTAATCATGATATTGTCTTCTTTTTTATCAGATGGGATATCAGTGAAGTTGATCGGCTACCTGAGTACATCAAACCATTCTATAGTGCTCTTCTAAATCTTTATGAGCAATTTGATGAAGAACTATCAAAAGAAGGAAGATCTTACGCGGTTCATTATGCAAAAGAAGCTGTAAGTACTACAATCACGATTGTTCCGCTGTTGGTATTAAGTCCCTAAGTTTCTTCTTTTGGTTATATTTATACTCAATTTCCCCTCCTCAAGTTACTCAAATTTCTACTGATTTTATGCAGTTGAAAGAGCTTGTGAGGACATACTATGTGGAAGCCAAGTGGTTTATCGAAGGATACTTGCCACCATTTTCCGAGTACATGAGCAATGCCTTAATTACATGCACTTACGTTTATCATACAACTACATCCTTGTTGGGGGTCAAATCTGTCACTGAGGAAGAATTTCAATGGCTGAGCAGTAAACCTAAAATGCTTGTTGCAAGTCTCATAATATGTCGACTCATTGATGACATTGCTACATATGAGGTATGAAATGAATTGAATCAATTCTACGAATAAGCAACTTTAGTTCACTTATCTAACTGTTTTTCTCCAAATTTTGTCTTATTGAAGGTTGAGAAGGAAAGGGGCCAAATTGCCACCGGCATCGAATCATACATGACGGAGAATGGTGTGAGTAAAGAAGTGGCGGTCAATAAGTTTTTTGAAATGGCTACAAATGCTTGGAAGGATATTAATGAAGAGTGCCTGAAACCAACTTCCTCTCCTAGAGAAATTTCGTCGCGAATTCTCAATCTTGAACGCATCATAGACGTCACTTATAAAGGCAACGAAGATGGATATACACAACCACAAAAAGTTCTAAAACCTCACATCGTTTCTTTGTTTATTGATCCTGTTGAGGTCTAATGCTAATTCGGTGAAGTTGGTGACAAATTGATGTAATCGTTCATGATTTTTTTTTTTATATTTGTTGTTACCTTTCAATTACATCGTTCATGATATAAAGTTTATTTTTTTTTTATATATGTTTGTTGTACTCCTTATTAATTGCTTATTTTATTCATCAGAGTTTGACAACATTTCCATATTAATAATATCTTCACTTTTACTACTCGGATGTTTTAAAAATTTTGTTCCAAAACAATATAATTACTATCAACGTATGTACAAAACAAAACAATATTATGCACAAACTAAATACTTTTCCAAAGTTAAAAAATATTGGCATACTATTTTAACACATGTTTCAATAAAATTAGCTCAATATTTGTTCATTGCTTATAAAAATATTCAAAATAATTGAAAAATAAATAAATATGATATTCAACAAGTTATAATAAGATAACTTATGTTAAGATGTTGCAACACTAATTCCTAAGAAATACAAAATGTACATCGAGTTGTCATAAACTTCTATGACGAGCAATATTTGACGACCCTTAAAAATATTGATAAAATATTTATTAGTCTAGTAAGACAATAAAGTGAATTTCAATAGGTTTGGTATACTTTGCTAGGAATAAATGGAAGGATTTACAAGTGATGAGTAACTAGTTACGATAATATTAAGGCCAGTTCTCTAGCTAGCTAGTCGATAAATATTTGATAAGAGAAAATGAGAAAAATTCTATAATTCTTAAAATAAATGAGGTATCTTTGTATATGTCATAAATGTCGTGAGAGATTTGTGTATTTAACGAACAATTATAAGAAAGGAAAAGAAAACCTGATAAATAAATCTAGACCCAGTTGAAAAGACAAAATGGATATTTATTTTTATATAGGTGAAAATAGGCCAAAAAAGAATACAACGTTGAAACATCGGATCTGAGCAAGCCAATGCTATTTGAAAATTGTTCACCAATTAAAAACTGACGGAGTTTAATTATCGTCCCAAGAATGAGTAGAAATTTTTTATTGTTTTTACTTATCTATGAAGCTTCCTCTCCATGCATGTTTTTTTCGTACAAGATTATTCTCTCGTGATTTTAACATTTTCTTGAATTCCGTGCAAGGAAAAAACATGCAAGCTTTTGCCAATCTTCTTATTTTTATTCTATTTTCATAAACAATTATGCTATTTGTATAATATTGGATGACAATATTAATTGACAAGGTTAATGTATCAAAAAGCTGTTGGTTGAAAAAATCGACAATTTTTCAAATTGTTCAATGACATTATGTCACGTGATATATTGTCAATAATATTGTCAATGTACGTACACCAAACATGATTATTTGGTGAAATATTTAAGTTGAAAAGCAAGTCTAATATGGCAGTCGGTCACTAGTTAACCTGTGAAGCAAATAGCATTTTCCAATATTTAATATATGTTCCAAGTGTTTGAAAGTTAAAAACACATGTATTGAATTATGTCGTGAAAATAGAGAAAATGAGAAGAGAGAATAAAAATTAATAGATTTTTGTGTATTATAATGAGAACAAAAACTATATATTTATAGGAAATGATTAGTGATATATATGATAATAATTTCTAGGGCTGCACGGGTACAATTGTCATTCATCAATAACTTACCATTTACAACACTCATCATTGAATGACACATGAATACCAGAAAATTAAGCTTAAAAAACTCATATTATACAGGATGCCAAAAAGTTGGACACATAATTTTGAAATACCGTATTTTTTATCTAATTAAACATTTCAAATTTCTTTATTTCTATAATTTCAAAATACCAGAATAAAAATTGTAATCTATTAAACTAATTAAGAAATGACGCCGGGCAGAATAGTGATTATTTTACAAACTAGTTCTACCAGTAAATTCACAGGAAATAACACAAGATTAACATCGAAAATACAGAGAAAACGTCTCTGAAGTTTAGGGAATTTTATTATATCACGCAATAATGAAAATAACTTCGCAAGCCGGACTTTATAGTAAAAAATCAAAATTTACTAAAAATGACAAAATTTTAAAAATCATGCTAACCAAAAATATGGAATAAAATAAGTAGTCTGCGAAAAATTTAGCTCAAATCGGGTTAAAAATCTTCTCGTAATATACAATCGAAATATTACCAAAAAATAGCAAAATTTAACTAAA